ATTTCACTCCTATGACCTTGAAAGTCGAACAAGGTCATTATGTTGAACAAATCTGATAGCCCTTTATCTCAGGATGCAACTTGCAAAAAATCACCTACCTATCCTTTTGTTTATTAAAATAAGGTCATTTAAATGTAAATTTAAACATATTTGAATAAATGTGACCTCGAAAGTGGGTTAAGGTCATTCAAATGAGAAAGCTTGATAGCCCTTCATCGAAGCATGCTACTGGCTAAATATCAACATTCTGGGCCTCATGGTTATTCAGAAGTCATAAAAAAATTAAACAAATTTGACCCATGTGACCTTAAATATAATCAAGGTCATTCACTTGAATAAACGTGGTAGTTCTTAATCCCAGCTTGCTACTGACAGATATCAACATTCTAGGCCGTATGGTTATGCAGAAGAAGTTGTTTAAAGATGTGTTTTTTTTAAACAATTGACCCCTGTGACCTTGAATATAAGTGAAGGGCATTCATTTGAACAAACTTGGTAGCCCTTCATCCCAGCATGCTACTGGCCAAACATCATCACCCTGGGCATTTTGGTTATTCAGAAGAAGTTGTTTAAAGTTTTTAACATATTTGACCCCTGTGACCTTGAAAATAGGTGAAGGTTATTTAATTGAACAAACTTGGTAGCCCTTTATCCAAGTTTGCTTCTGGCCAAATATCATCATTCTAAGCCTTTTTGGTTGTATATATATTTAATTTTCACGAGCATCTGCGTCTTGCAAGACACAGCGAATGTACCCCAAGGAAACACATAGAGCATGCCGTACTCGCACGGCGCCACCCATTGCCCCTGACACGAGTGCAGATACTCCTTCTGCTGATATGTTCGTAGATTTATATCAGGCTCTCTTTCTCCAACTGATCACTACATAGGCTGTCCACGATAACCTGAATGAATGCTGTCCGGCCCAACTTTTGATTCGGATCTGTATTTAGGGAAAAACATACAATGTATGTAAGCATGCATTTAACAACATCCTATTGATGACGTTGAACACGATCTTTTTCCACAATTTAAGGGTTTTGCGGTTGACGTCATACGTTAGAGCCAGCATGTCGTTCAAGTCAACACCGTCCATGTTTTTGTTGTAGAACTTGACAATGTCCGGTTTCCGTCTTCGATCTTTTGCTTCGATGCAGATTGATACAAGACGAACGGCTTTCCTGTTTGGACGTTCTTTATATGCGCATATAATAAGATGCTTCTTTGTCTCATGTAGACAGTTTGGCCGGTGTTGATTCTTGGTGTTCTAATTGTGTTTGGTTGATCTCTGCTATTCGTACGTAAAGATCTTTTTAAGGAAAAAAGTTACTAAATCTAAGCCGTTGTTCAGCAACCCCTCCGCTTCCAATAACGCAAACAAAGCAGAAGACCTCTGCGTTTGTCTAGTAGGGACAGTTTCATAAACGACCCCTGTAAACGGTTATATGGAGAGTGTAGCCTGTAACAGACTCCGCCAACATCCAAACGTTTGCCCGAACTTGCAGTGTTTTGAAGGGATATACTGAGCTATTTCAGTTCTATTCTTTTTACTTACTAATGATTTGTTTTTGGTGAGATTCTGAGATGGTATGAAGTGTCGCTTGAATAGCATGTCCACACGTTGGACGAAATGAACTTTTTCATTTAATTTGAATTTTTCAAAGAGAGGAAGACGTACAAGTCCTCATAGAACCGTATAAGTTGTTCACCCAGTCTTGTTAAATTAATATGCATTAGCTAGTCTTTGATCAGGCTCCAGATTAACAGTCTTGCAAGCCAACGTTTGTACTGGATGCACACTATAGATATAAACAAGAGGCCCATTGGCCTTAACGGTCACCTGATATATTTATACAGAGAGTTGATTTTGTTTTTAACACGAACAGAAATATTATTCAAATTGACAAAAAACAATAAAACCACCTTATTCAATATCTAGCATCAGATTTAAGACTAAAAAGTATTTGATACTAGCACCTCTGATTCTAAACTAGGAAAATGAAGAAATTTAAGCACACTGACTCCTTTGGGCCCCACCCTACAGCCCTTGGGGGTAGGGCTGGCTCAAAATTTTCATAGTATTAAACTGTCAACTCAGTGTTATAATTCCAATCAAGTTATTAACATGTAATATTCAAAGTATCATTTGCCATTATAAACCATAATACATTTTGGCCCCCCCTTCCTTCCCCAGGGGGAAACGTGAGACCCTAGGGTCATAAACCTTAAGACCCTTCCATCTATGAAGAGTCTTAGATTCTACCATATCTTGGTCTTGAGAAGAACATTTTTGAAATTTCGGTCAATTCAACCCTTTTTGGCCCCACCCATCAGTCCCGGGGGGTCAGTCAGGGCTCATATGTGCATACCATCAAACTGCTCTTTCCCAATACTGATAATGCTAACCTAAATTGAATTACTTCCAATGGAAATTAAACAAATGTTGGTCCAAAATGTGATTTCCCTATATAAACTATAGTAAAGTTTACCCCCTCCCCAGGGGGAAACATGAGACTCCAGGGTCAAGAAATTCACAATTTTGGTAAAGCACCTTAAGACCCTTTCATCTATGAAGAGTATTTGATTCTACCATATCTGGGTCTTGAGAAGAAGATTTTTGAAATTTTAGTCAATTTGACCCTTTTTGGCCCCGCCCCTAAGGGTCACAAAATTGGTTCCCCAAACCGGCCACTATTTTTGTTGACCTTTGACCATGGAAGGTTTCTGAAAAATTTCACTGAAATTGGTTCAGGGGTTTGAGAAGTCGAAAATGTAAATTGTTTACGGACGCACGCCGGACGCGGACGCCGCCGGACGCCACCGGAGAAAAGGCGATCGCAATAGGTCACTTGAGACTTTGTCTCAGGTAACCTAAAAATTGATTCTATCTTGTTTACCTCTACTTCTAAAATATTTTATTAAATAAGAAAATTACCTTTTTCCAAGCAAAAAGTTCCGGAGTTTCACTATCAGTTTTGGGTTTGATTTCACGGCAATGTTATTGCCATCCAACACCAGGTCATGCTCGCAACATATCTACTAGGGATCATACATAACATGATCGCCACACAAGGAGCTTGGTGTCCACTGTGTATGTGTGTTAGAGGGGATTGAATATATATATACCTGAGTTCAAAGGATCTTGAGTGTGGTATTTTGGTCCATTTATTTACTAGATACTGTTAAACATTTCACCTTCGTGTGAATTTCATTTAGCGATATATGTTTGTATGTTTTATTTGCGAANAAGGATTTTGAAGATTTACGTCTATTTCCCCTATTAGGCCCCACCCCTCAGGTCCCAGGGGGGCCACACCCACCGTTTATACAAAATTGGTTCCCCACTACCCAATGATGCTCCACACCAAATATGGACCAAATTCTTTCATTCCTACAGAAGAAGAAGGATTCTAAAGAATAATTTGCTATGTTTCCCCTATTGGGCCCCACGGCTCAGGCACCTGTGGGGCCCAATCCCCGGGGTATCCAAAATTGGTTCCCCTTCACCCAAGAATGCTTCAGACCAAATATGGAACAAATCCTTTCATTCCTACAGAAGAAGACGGATTTTAAAGAATAATTTGCTATATTTCCCCTATTTGGCCCCGCCCCTGAGGCCCCTGGGGGGCCAGACCCACCATTTATACCAAATTGGTTCTTCTTCGCCCAAGGATGCTCCACACCAAATTTTGTTAAAATCCGCTCAGTGGTTCATGACTAGTAGTGTAAAGTTGACGGACGACGGACGCAGGACGACGGACGCTGCGGTATGGCATAAGCTCACCTTGGTCCTTCNACATTATTTTGTGGTGTACGTATCATAATTAAAAAAATATGACCAATGAAATCACGTCCAGTTGGGTAACCAAAAATGTTTACCAACTCCTAATAGGTTTATCCAATAAATCGAGAGTGAGGAAACCTATAGCGGTTGTGGAAGAAATCATATTTATGTAAGATTTCAAACCCATTTTCTTTAGATATGATGAAACTAGTCGAGGTTCACTTTTTTAATTTTTCAATAGATACTTTATTTATGAAAATAGTCGAGGTGCATAGTTTTTCATTTTTCATCTAATACGATATTGTTGAGATTAGTTGAAGATTCTCATCATTCTTTTTTAATGAACCAAATTTACATCTTCAGTGTATTTATTTTGGTATTTATAAGAACATAGTATACCAACAATAAGTTTGCACTGCTAACTTTTATGTACCTGAAATATTATACAATGTACAAATACTTGTTACTGTATGAACATACAATTACAGAGCTTTGACATTATCAGCAATGGACTTGCAGAAATAATCATAAATCATGTTATTATCAATAATATCAACCAACTTTAATTTATATAACAGAGCTGACAGCAGAGGAAACGTAAACATTCCTATAGTCAGAATAAAATCTGAGTGTATTCTATACTTTATAACCATCATCATTAACGTAAGCTCATGTTTAACCAAATATCAATTCTTCTAAAAAACACATCTCTTCATAATGAGTACATAAACTTTAAAGATAATGAATATTGCCATTCACATTGAGGTGTATGTGTTTTGGTAGTGAGGGGCTGGGGCGATGGGGGGGATTGTTAACATATATAAAATAATTTATTTTAAAGACTTATACTGTCACAAAAATATAAATATGGAGCACCTGTAGTATCAGCACCATGAAAACCTCGTAGTGGAACAAACTGACCCCCAATTAATCTGCCATACAGTGTAATCCAATACAATGCTGAAATCCCATTTATTATAAAAACTACCATATAAGACATGTTTTTTAATATTTAACACAACACGACCAGTATGTTTTACCCACATGGTGTCAAATTAGACAGGTTTGACTCAATGTTAACATTCCTGATTCACAAGTTGAAATTAACACAAATCACACTCTACAGTTTTATCATTTAAACACTATCTTGTATATCAAAGCTCTTTGCAAGCATATCACAGTCATCACATCAATTATAAAAATTCAAAACCTAAAACACAATTATTATAATTTATATACATGATACATTCATCATCACATTTTTTAACGTTTTAAATTTGCAAATGATTTTGTAGTTAGAAATTTTGACAATTTAAAAAAATTGTGACTATGCAGAAACTGTGAACATGCAAAGATAAACACATTGTGAAGACATCTTGCTATACACTACTACATTATCAATACCATGTCTTACATCACGATAACAAAATATTATAAATATCAATTTTCTAAAAAATAAGCAAGATTGTACAAGCACTATTGATACAGCAAGTACACCATATAAAGCCATAGGAGAACTGCTACAAAAAGCTCTCATTTCTAAGCAATTCATACATGTATAGCTGTACTGCAGGTTATCACCCAATTTCGAGTCAATTTGAAGCTGAGTTTGAGCTTAAGTCTCTATCTTATGTCTTCGGAGATTAGGTTTTTGAGTAAGCCCCTATGTTCAGTATATGGGAGGTTAAGTTTGAGCTTTTGTCTTTCTGTAAAGTCTATCGGAGACACAGTTTGAGTTAAGTCTCAAATTAAGTCTATGGGAGACCAAGTTTGAGCTTAAAACTCTATGTTAAATCTATAGGAAACTTAAGTCTGAGCTTAAGTGTCTATGTTTAGTCAACTGGAGGTTAAGTTTGAGCTATTGTCCCCATGTTAAGTCTATTGGTGACCACGTTTGAGTATAATCCTTTATGGTTAGTTTATGGAAGCCTAATATTGAGCTAAGGACTCAATGTAAGTCTATGAGAGATTAAGTTTGGGCTTTATGTCTATGTTACAGTAGGAGGGACTTAAGTTTGAATTCAGCATGAGGCAGCTCTTGAAGTGTTGGGAGTATTGGGGAGATGGGTTTAATATTTCAGGTTATATTTAAGTGTAACATAAAATACAAAGTTTCAAAGACAATGCTACATTATAGGCACTTATTACTAAACAAATCATATTCAGCTGCTTCCAAAATATCTTCTGGTCATTTGTAATTTGTTTTTGTGCTACTATGTTCATAAATAGTTTTCTGATTAAGATTTTTAAACTAGAATTGATACATACTTTTGAAGAAACTAATGAATTAATAACAAAATCTGCTTTTCCTATTTGATATTCACAGTAAGAATTCTACCTAGATATCGTTGAATACTGCAGTACTTTTCCATTCAAAATGTTGAAGGTAGCTCCTCAATGTTTTAGCTGGTCTGATCCAGGATAATTAACAGGTTTTTAAAATTATGTTTGGTAGTTGCACAAATTTCACAGCTTAGCTTGGGGAGTTACATCTCCCAAGCCACCAACAAATGAATTGGGATGGTTTGCCTCCCATGTCCTCAAAGTTGTACATGAAGGAGGTATCACAGAAGTACTGCTTTTGTCAACAGTGTCTTCAATCTTAAAGCTGAAGTCTTCAGCTCCACAGACAGCTAGGACACTCTCATCAATGGGGTCATCACAGCAGTGATTTCACAGTAAAAATTTGAACAAAAAGCTGAAATATATCTATGTCGAAATTTGATTTAAAATAAAATAATTTGAAAACTCATCATTTCATTTCTAGATCACTTGAACATTTTGAATATTTACCATGTGTTGTCCTGCTCATACAGGTTCAGTAAACTAGTCTGATACCTGGAACTTTTTCTGTCCTCTATCATACAAGAGAAGGATTACCTCCCCTATTCACACTTGGTTAATTATTCCCTGTCCTTACAATCGTGATGGGAGGGATGAAGTGGCCTGCCCCTCTCTCAGTGGCTTAATATATTTGTGGAAAGAGTCAAGCACCTGTAAACACAGAAGGGTGTATTTTAGTATTCTTCATAACAATAAACAATCTTTTTGTATACATAACATCCTTCTTTCCATCTACCTATTACATACAATAATGAAAAAAAAACTTTGTTTGTATAATGAAATAAAAAACATGGTTTTGATTTCTTTTAAATGTTTCTTTTAGTTTTTTGCTTCATTTAAATGATTGACTACTTAATATTGCTGATTTTTTTAATATACACCAATAATCATACAAACATTTTTTACCGGTAATGATAAAAAAATAGCATGCTAACGAAACATAGTCATATAATCATATAAACTTTTTTACCGGTAATGATAAAAAACTTCTTTAAATAGCATGCAAACGAAACATAGATAATTCATATATCATTCCCTTGCTTACATCTTTCTCGTTCAGTGGTGATGACTTGGCATACTCGTAGAGTGCGTAATACACATTTCCATCATATCGTCCCAGACAGGAATCTAGCACTTTGTCGTGGTAGTCAAAGGCATCCACCAAAGCTACAGCGTCAGGTCGCACATCAGCCAGAAGTGTCATCATCTTCCTGGTGAGGATATCAACTTGGTCAGTGTTGAAAAACTGGTCCTGTGTTGACAAGAAACAACAGACCTATTATCTTATATCTGTAGTCTAAATGAAGATATCAATACTCTCAAAATAGAAAGTTCAGTCAGATTTTCTGACCTAGTGTCCTTTAACTTGACTTGTTTGCTTGCGTTTAACATCCTTTTAACAGCTATTTACAATTTCATTAAAGCTCCTGATGATCGTTCTATCCGTGCACTAAAATTGACTGTAGTACCTCTGAGTCTGGAGAAGAAGAATTTTGAAATATTGGTTAATTTTTCCTTTGGGGCCCCATCCTGGCCCCTAGGGTTGGGGTAAGAATCCCAATTTTACATTTTAAAACCATCTTTCTCCAAGGATAATTCTCACCAAGTAAGAATAATTTCCTACAGAAAATTGTCAAAATATACCCAAAAGTGTTGTTTCCCTATATAAACTATAGTAAAATTTACNATCCACTGATTCTTGAGAAGGAGTTGATAATGTAAAAAGTTTACGCACGACGGACGGAAAGTGATCAGAATAGGTCACTTGAGCAAAGCTCAGGCGACCTAAAAATATATAAGCAAACCTACCTGTAAGAACTCGCCAAGGTTTTCCATGATCCCATTGACTGCGTACATTTTACACAGAGTGGTCAGTGCAGCTTTGGTTCTGTCATCAATATTGGCCTCAGTTACCGTGGTTACAAACACCTTGACAACGTACTGGTGGCAGTGTGCCCTTGCTGCCCAAGTCAATTGAGTGGACGCCATATTGAAAGCATCTGTGGGTTTCTGACCTTCATTAATGTGTCTCTGAACGACTGCTGTGGCAGCATTGGTCAGTCTGGCAGCCCTGTGCTGATATGCCTTGACCAGGCAGCCAAGAGCAACATCAGATGTCATACATGACTTAGCAGACAGGTCCATACTAAGGTAAGACACAAGGTCAGGTAATCTTTGTCCCTTCTGGACCATCATCGCACACTCGAACAGGTACCTAAGAGGGAAAACACACAAACATCTAAAGTTGGCCAATGTTTCAAAAATACCATTTCTTACCATAATACATTCATTATCATTTAGCCTCGCTGATGAAGAATGGGGGGTAATTTAAAGCGATGAAAATATTTAATCTGTTTAACAACGCAATGTCCTTTACCTGGCTGTCTGAAGCATCATGACAGAGTTCTCTCCCTCATACGTACACGCTGGGGTAATATTCGTGTAGATCTTCGGAAGCCCGCTGGCCAGCGAGTAACCATGACCCCCACATGACATACGACACACCTCGATTCCCGCTGATGCACCCCAGGAACTGAACGCTTTCAGGCCGGCAGACAAAGCATGCAACTACGATCATAAATTGGAAGAAACATAGTGTAAAATTCCTTCTATTTCCAGGCTTAAGTAAAGTTAAGTAAAGTGAGTAATTGGGGACTAAACAAAGGCATTCCCACTCTGTAAACTTTTTAAAACATCATGCATCTACGAAGTTTATCGTAAACTTTAACTTGGCTGTGCAGACCTGTGTTTGGTTTGTGAAATACCAAGAAGTCATATAGTATACGTCTATGTGTTTTAGCACAAACTATTAAACAGTCCAAAAGTTACTGTAAGGGAAGGGAACCAATCCAAATGAAATGAGCAAATTTTGACTGCATAGATTTGGCTGAAATATTTGCATATTTTAGGTGGTGACCATGTATCCTGTCAACCTAATAATACAAAAGATATAGAAAACAAAATGTGGGAAGGCTGTAACATAAGGAAACCTGTGGATAGCAGGCATATCAAAAGTAGGTCACTATGACCAAATTATGGTATATTATTATCATACTTGCCACATGGAATGATTTGAGAGCAAGACTCATGAAAATTGACTCAAAAATAGCTCTATTTATCACATACCTGTTGAATCATGTTATAGTAATACAAGCAATTTTCAGACCATGAAATACAACGTTCTGTATTGCCCATGTGCAACACGGAATGTTGTATTAACCTACTAGCCGGAACTACTTTTTAAGGGAATCCCCTTGTCATAACGAACTGAAAAGTTCCCGGTATTTGCAAAAAATATCAAAGTGTATAAAATCTTTGTATCGATCTTTACCGAATATGGAAGGTATGTGATAAAAGCAAGACCACACACTTGTTTTTTTCTAACGAAACAGAAAGCACTCATTTATTGCGCGGATGTATATATTGACTCAAGTGCTCCGCGCACTCGTGAATATATTCGCTCGAGCAATAAACTTGTGCTTTCTGATTAGAAAAACACAAGTGTGTGGTCTTGCATATGTATTCACAGCAAATCAGCATAAGTGAAAATCTAAGCACTTACCACTGGCATTTGTTGAAGGTTTCCAGCCTCTATCTCCTTAGAGATGTTTAGAAAATTGGATTGCACTGCCTGCCCAGCAAAGTGGTAGGCATACGCTGTGGCTACCAGAGGAAACAACTTGTACTGTTGTGTTTGGTAGTCTAGAATCTGTGCTTCAGGTCCTCTGTTTAAACATATAAGCCCACCAGATAGAGTGTTAGTGTTTCTCAACACTAAGTTTGTTTTAAGCACAAGGAACTGACATGTTACAACCACCCCCACACCCATTATAGCTGCTTATACATGTATTGACAAATGAAAGATAAACTCAGATACTTGTACAGAGTACATCTTTCAGAAAAAAAATCCAAAATCACATGTTTATGTATGACTGACAAATTATGAAACATATTGATGTTTTGAAAATAAACAGGTTTTATCCCATTATCTTGTTAAATTGATATGCTTTGTTAAACTTTCAAACTTAATCAGTTTGTGGAAAAATAAAAATTTCATATTTATTATTTTAGAGAGATTATTCCAAGTTCCAGGACAAACAACATTTACTATATTAGTTGCAAAAATTAAGAATTTTTCTTCACTGTGTCGTTAAGACGACAACAATTGACTCGACTGGGATTCTAGGCCAAGGGTCATGAAGCAGGCTGAGACTTGAAAATATGATAAATTGTCAATAAAAAAAAGTATAACAGACTAAATCTAAATTTGGTGAAATAAAGATTTCCAAGATGTGTACATTTGATGAGAAAATCTTTAAGCAGCAACTTATAGAAATATTAGACACTTATTGGACACAATTTTTCAAGCACATGTAATAACAGACAACAAATTCTAAATTTAATCTAAAGCATAGCATCTGAAAGTTTCCTGAAATAACTCCATAAGAGTATTCAAATGAGAAATGGCATGTTTAATCATCCTTGAACATTCAAACAAATCGCCAAAAGTCCACAAGATGAGTGTAATAGATGGTAGGTTTGGTTTGACAGTAGAAAAGCCTTACCCTGGGGAGACTTCTGTCTGTCTACGAACTGCGCTATATCTGACAGAAATGACACAGGCCTGAGCCAGAGCCCTCGACACTGCTCCGACAATAGATGCTCGTATCATCACCATAGATCCGTAGGACAGCTTGGAGTTAGCAGGTTTCACGTAAGTACCATCTTCCAGCACCTGTCTCACATCATACAGAAAAACAAGCATGTAATTATCTGAAATTATTTGTTATCATATCCTGAAAAACAAGACCCTGTATCACCATACTTATTATATGACCAATACATTGGTTTAACTTGTCATATTAAATAGTTGCATAATACCGTATACGTGTACCAGGAAGCTTTCGCACAGTCAAATATTCTACATTCACTGGTAAAATCTATAATCGCCCAGTCAAATATTCTACATTCACTGGTAAAATCTATAATCGCCCAGTCAAATAATCGCTCAGTCAAATATTCTACCTTCACTGGTAAAATCTATAATTGCTCAGTCAAATATTCTACATTCACTGGTAAAATCTATAGTCCCCCAGTCAAATAATCGCCAAGTCAAATATTCTACCTTCACTAGTAAAATCTATAATCGCCAAGTCAAATAATTGCTGTCAAATAATCGCCCATTCAAATATTCTACATTCACTGGTAAAATCCATAGTCCCCAAGTCAAGTAATTGCCAAGTCAAATATTCTACTTTCACTGGTTAAATCTACAATCCCATATAATCGCCCAGTCAAATATTCTACGCCCTCTGAAAAAAGGCCAAAGTTAAACTGCTTCAAATATTTCCTGGTAATCTGTATACAGTATTTAATGCAGTTATCAATTTACAATTAGACTTTTTATGGATCCTTTTCCACTGTACTGCTTCAAACCCTGAGTCCTACCATNCTACTCTGCTACCTGTAATTATAGTCGAGCAGTTGTAATTATAGCCTATATAATTACACTTGCCCTCTAACACTGTTGTAATGGGACAGCGCGGGGGCAAATGTAAATGTAAGCACATCTCCAGCATTTTCCTTTAGTAACAAAACTGTATCAGTATGAATTTTATCTAAAGCCAGGAACTGCTTCCCCTGACAAAAAAAATACCTTATTTTCCCAAAATGNAATCAGTATGAATTTTATCTAAAGCCAGGATTTTTTTTAACTGCTTCCCCTGACAAAAAAAATACTTTATCTTAGTGAAGTTAGTGTAAAGTCCTACCACTGTTTAGATTGAAAAATGGAGTCACTATATAAACCAGAACTTGCTGTTGACAAATTGGAATCACTATGACTGTATAAGTGTTTCTATTAAAAGATGTAAATCATGGAAAATGACACACCCACCTTGGAATACCTCATCAACATGTTGATGCGAGGAATTCTGAAGTTGTTCAGTCGAAGGTAGCCATTGTCATTTGCATTAAAGCCAAACTTTGGTCCAATGTCACCCAATTCCACTCCTTCAATACAAAAACAAACAAGCTCATGTTTTAACGTATCTATCTTACTGGAAGAAAATGTAAAAGTAATCAAAGTAGCTCACACCGACGTTATACCTGTACCATAAATATAGCTCCACAGTGCCTCTCTGTACCCCCTCTTACCCTGTAACATAATCAAAGTACTGTAAGTACTGAAGGAGGCATTAGTCATATATTTGGACATGGAAAATAATGAAAGGTAAAAGGTGAAATTTGAAATAAAGCAATTATAGATGCCAACACGATTATTGATATACATTCAAGAGCAAGTACTTATTTTTAAACTTAGAACTACTAACCATCAAAGTTACCCGCTAATAAAAGACTGGAACTTCAGATATTTTTCAATTGGAACTGTCGCCAGGATGACAGACTAATACCCCCCGCTCTCCATCCAGTCTGATTCCCACCCTGGCCCAACACTTGCTAATACAGTCGAACCTCGTTATCTCGAAGTCGACGGGGTCGTAGGAAAACTTCGAGTTATCCAAGTATTCAAGTTCATATATTTGGTATGAAATTTGCTGTTTGGACATAGCATTTATAGTAGTCGTTGATTTGTATTAATAGCCAATGCTTATAATCAGTCACTAAATAGTATACGTAATCAAGATAACAAATACAGGTATGTTATTTTACAATAAACACGCTTACAAAAAAAAAAAAAAAGTTATTTCCAAAAACGTATTTTCGTTTAACGCGATCAAAACGGTTCGACCATATTGTGAATTCGTAACGAAATATGGATGGGCGTAGTGATTAAATGTTGTTTTTGGCCAGTCTTAGCAAAGCCTTTTCAGATCTGAAAATAGAACAATCCCGCTGTCTCCGACCTCGTACTATACAACGCGGAAATGAAAGTGTGCAAGTCTAAAACAAATCACTGTATTGGAACACACGCACAGTTGATTCTTTAAATGAAAACACACACAAATAGATTCTAATGTACGTGTAACACATTGATTCGTAATTATGACACCTGACACCTCCTCAATTTGATGTAATCAACAGCAATTACCGTTTTGTTCTTAACACCTCTCGATCGACTTTCAAAGCCATACTGGCACCTGTAAAAACATGAACCTGTGAAGCTGTCCTATGTTGTGATTTTAACTGTGGAACTCTTTTATGCATGACCACGCTTTGTGACCAATTTTCCGGTTTGGACTGTCGTCAGTTTTGGTGTACAAATCATTAAACAGACTCGCAGGTAGTACAGAATAATGTTGATCAACATTGATGAAGTTTGTTTTTTATTTTGAAAATCTGGGTTTTGACAGTCCGCACACTTTATATTCTCTTGCTTTATCATAAAATATTTTTACCGATTTCATGCTAGTCTACCCACAAACGATGTTCATAAACACGGAATGGCGAGATGCCGTAGGTTTGTTTTTAAGTTGTATGAAATTTGAACACTATGAAGTAGACGATGTTTTGATGTTGGATTCACGCTGTTGAAACCAATCTTACTTCGTGGTATCCAAGTTTTGCGAGTTTTCAGGGTTTGAATTATCACTTTTATTTACTAAGATTAAGAAGAGGTTTGGCCGGAACCGGAGAATTACTTCGAGATAAACGGGGTCTTTGAGTTATTAGAGTTAGAGATAACGAGATAGTATGACTCATCCAATATGGCTGTTGCATGTAGTTTACATCCAATATGGCTGTTGCATGTAGTTTACATCCAATATGGCTGAACATTGCGTGTAGTTTACATCCAATATGGCTGTTGTGTGTAGTTTACATCCAATTTGGCTGTTGCGTGTAGTTTACATCAAATATGGCTGTTGCGTGTAGTTTACAACGGAAGATTTAAAGTCCAATCTTCACACATGTTCATATTATACATAATAAAATTACTGATAAAAAAAGTTATAATTTATTTGTACTTGGCTATTATGAGAGCTATTTTTCTTGTAGTGAAACGGTTGTCCTCATCCGTTACTACTATCTCGCAGTTATCTTCCTTCTTCTAACAGTATTTTTTTGTTATAATTTGATAAATGTTCAAAAATGTATGTAAGGAAATAGAATCTAAAGACTTTAAAGTCAATATTCTTATTGTTATCGAAAATAGTGTAAACTGAAATGTTAACAACATTATCAGGATATTTGAATAAATTGGTATTTCTTTTATATACTATGAACAAAGTGCTACAAAAGGTGTCTCCCTAGCATTTTAAGTAACGGAGGTTACCACCAGACGCCGCAAATTCACCCATTATATAATGTGTGTGTGGTAAATCTGGATGGGGTTGTTGAGTGACAAATGTAACAGGAGAAAGAGAAATGTAGGGTCAGATGGGGATTTGAGGTCCGGACCCTCCAAACTCAAAGACAGCAGCTCCGATACTCCAGGGGTTACACTATCTTCTGCTCTCTGCACCCCAGCTGGATTATGTCACAGTAAATTTGAAGGCACATGGCTAGCTATTTGATTGGTTTTAGGTAAAAAAAGAAACTGACCCATCACTAGGCTGTTACCTGCCTTTTGACGATTACAGAGAAGTGGCACTCTAATTCAAGGCTAGTCAATTTTACCGTTACACGACTGACAGACTCTTGTGATGTACATCAAAGGATCAAACTAGTCCCCTCGTCTCATCCACAAGGAGGTGTACACCGAGCTTTTGATTTTGCTATGACAATTCCAAGGGTGCAGGTAGCTACTCGCTGAATATCATGACCTTTGATTTGTCAGTACTGAGGAAGAAGAACTGTGCATTGTGTATGTGAATTTCAGATTTTCTTTTAAGTAATTTTGAAATACAAGGAGACATATTGAGTGCTAAGCACCACCATCACAGTACTGTTTGTATTCCATAAGACTCCTTTGGACAGATAACTGAGTGTTATGTCCATATGAGTAACTTGTGTACACTATAATAGTTGACCTGTACATTTAAATATCCTGGTACTTGAAATACATTTATATATTTCTTTGCTCTGTGTTAAAATTAAATTTCCGTTCAGTGTAGAGGGCACAAAGAGAATGGGGACTATTTTTACCTGGAAGTGACTGATGGGTGGTGAGGTCCCTGAGGGGACACAGGAACATATGTGGACCTTGGCATTTTCCCTGAGAGTACAGCTGGGCCATGAGGATGCAGTAGTTGACAGTTTTTCCCACTTTAAAAATATATATATGTATATATTACATTATGACGTATATTATTTATTATTTTATGTTCCGTCAGACATACACAATATTTCAATAATGAAAATCTTGATCCCAAAGGACTTCTTTTTAATGTATTGAGTGAAACTTGTTTGAGTCTTACAAACAGGTGATACAAATTTTTACGTAGAAGTAGTGTTTTTTTTAATTTGAACCAGTCCAGCTTATTTCTCCCTCCTTTTTCGAAGTCTTCAAGCCTGAAGACACATCTATATGCTAAGCTTGCTAATTTTGTAACAGGAGAAAGAGAAATGCAACTGCCAGACTGGGATACGAACTCAGGACCCTCCAAACTCTAGACAGACACTCTACCTATTGAGCTACCTGGTCCCTGATGCTCGACCCGGTCCAGGTCCGCAACATGTGTAATTAGGGGGAAAATGCAGAGCCAGACTAGTATTTAAACCCAGGACCCCCCGAAGTGTTGAAAAATGCTATACTAATTAAACTACCTGGTTGCAAATGTTGGACCCATCCAGTTCAGCAACATGTATAACAGGAAAGAGAAATGCACAGCCAGACTAGAATTCGAACCCAGGACCCTCACAACTCTAGATAGATGCTCTACCAATTGAGCTGCCTGGTGGATGGTGATTCATCCAGTCTGATTGCGCTACATTGCTCCCTCTTTTTTCCATGACTTTGCCCCCAAAGACATCACTATATACAACCCAGGTTCAGGGATCCGCTAGCCAAGCATTCACCCAATGCTTGAAAGAATGGTTAGTCACAGTCACCACTGTAACAGGAAAAATAAATGCACGGCCAGAATGGGATTTGAACCCGAGACCCTCCAACCTCTAGGCAGATGCTTTCCCGATTGAGGATACCTGGTTGACGGTGATCGACTCAGTACAGTTCTGCTATACATACATACAGTGGATCGTGACATATACAAGAATCTATAACCCTGAATCCCATCTCATGTATAACATTTCTATTTTGACTAAATACAGTGATAACCTAGAAATTATTAACATTCTATAAGTTCTATAAATCCACTTACAATTTCCAGGCCAGTACTTGGTTGCTGAAAGAGTAGGCGTGTCCACAATAAACTCCTGGGTTTTGGGGTCAAATGTGGCTGTTGTTTCCAGACCTCTGATAAAGGTTCCTGACAAAGACAGACAAAACTCCTGCAGTGTCAGTCAGATAATGTAATTATGAATCACCTATTCCATATAAACACATCAGCATTAATATAAATAATATAGATGTATAAAAGGATTCTTCTTCAATATCATTTATTAAACAAGTGATCCCAGAGGGATCTTGGCACCCACCATTGTGCCATCTTTATTAGTTCTATGTCAGTTTGATCTTTCTTTTCTCTTATTTGTTTGATTGAGTCATGTAAACAGTAAATGCATCTTGTGGTAGCTTTTGATCTAAACTGCGTACTGCGGTATATAAAAAGCAATTTTCAAGTGAGTTTGTACTATCACATATTTACTAGTTCAGTTCTTAAAAAGTGAAAGAAATAGAACTGATCATTTCAATATGAGAAAGCTTTTTTAAGTGCTTTTTCTTAACATTTTCTTCAGGTTGGTAAGTATAGATTATGAGAAGTTCTTTTTACACAACCAATAAAATTTTCTATGTGACGTTTCGACGACTAGTACGATATGTACATCGTCACCTTCATCAGATAAATGACTACTAAAGCGTATGCACACAAAGGTGTAAAATGTGTACATCTATGACCAAGTGTTAACAAAGCGAAGCTTAGTTGAGTCATTTCGGTACATATATAACAACTATTCCAGATTACGGCTACATTTCCGTAATCGTAGCCGAAATCGACATCGATTTTATGGATAACTCATACACATTTTACACCTTTGTGTGCATACGCTTCACCAGTCATTTGTCTGATGAAGGTGACAGTGTACATATATCGTATGAGTCATTGAAACGTCACATATTTCTTGAAATGTCAAAATCCAAGATGACCACCACAATCTGATTTGCATAACTAGGGACCATGGCAAACCTTCATATAAAATTCAAGAAAGATCCCTTCAGTAAGTTCTGAGAAGTAGTGCTGACAAACTTTAACTCTCAAATTGAAGATGGCTACCTGTCGGCCATCTTTGTTTTGTGATAAGTCCCAAAAATTAATATGCATAACTAGGGACCATGGGGAACCTTCATGTGCAATTTAGAAAAGATTCCTCCGGTACTTTACGAAAAATAGCACTAACAAGAATTGTTCAAGGCCGGACGGAACGACGATGGACAATGGATGCAGGGTGATTTGAAAAGCACACCATCTGATGATGGTGTGCTAAAAATGCATAATGCAAAAACTTCAATGACACAAATACAACATATCTGAGAGCATTTTTCTATAAAGCAGGTCTTCAAGATACAATATACACAAAATATGAAGTTAAACTGAGAATGATATTTTTCCATATTGACCACTTTATTGTTTAAAAAAAATCTTTAATGCTAGGCTTTAAAGTTCACATCACAATTTTGAGAAGTATATACTTTGGTATATATTCAGCAACTGATTCATGGCTATTGAAGTAACCATTGAATAACTAATGTCACTGATATTCACACTATAGAACTGACTATTCAAAAACTTTAGCTTTATCAATACAAGTGACGTCACATTAATTCAGCACCAGTAGTCTGGTTCTATCACTATATCCTGTCAATCTGTATGGAAACATTTCACCATTTTCTACACAAACTAATCCTCATAATCTCAGTGTTTTGTTTATCCAGGCACTAGTTTTTGTCATGAAATGAACATGGCCTGTTTATCTAGCCTTCACTACGTATATTCTAAGACAAAGGGAAAGTTTCCTGTAAATGTTTTCAATATATATATGCAATGAGGATTTAAAAGTCTGGAATGAAACTAGGGGCATGTTCGTTTATGTGGAACAACCAGTACATCTGTTTTTAAATGTAACATTTTCGGGTATAAATCCTCGCAGACCTGCAAATGTTTATGCAGGCCTTGCAAGGCCACCTGAAAACAGCATTAGATTATTGGGTCTCACGTTATTTCATAAACGAACAACTCTGGTCCAGCCGGTTTAACCATTTGGATCGCGATAAACGAAGACGGCCTAGGTAAAATACTAGAAAATATTGGGAAATTTAGAGCAAATGGTGAGGAAAATTATCCATTAAAGCCTATAATGATTGTCTATATTAGTCTAATTATACATAAATTGTACCGTGTCCTAGTTCAGTCTGAACATATGTTCCTATGATCTTGAGGTCCTTTGCTGGCTGCACAAACTTCTTCTTCTGTTCCTCAGTGCCATGCTTCTCTATGGTTGGTATGAACATGCCGAAGTGTAGACCAACTGGGTTGTTCTCGTTGGGAGCTGTAGCTCTGTCAACAAGCAACATATTGATTAAGTAACATTACAAACTAGTACAAGCATCTTCATACCAAAAGATATAATGCAATAACTTCCACACTGATCAAACTGTTAAGTGTTTTTTGATGAATGATGGTAATGAAAAATAGGATTTATTAACTGAAATCAGAAATTCATGCACCAATAAAACTCCTGTACTTTTGAATTATTACTTGATTCTAATTATTTATTAACAGAGACATCTCTCTCAAATTTCACAGGTTTGTACTACATGTTTAAGGTTGTATAAATTAATTTTCTTTGAAAACATTGAAAGTCTTATATCATAGAATTATATAATGTGTAAGGAAGGATATATCCTTAAGGGAGATAACTCACACATAAATCACATGTATTATTTGTAGGTAGTATATATATATATAACACAAAAAAACGAAGTTTACTCTCATCATAAACCGCTTCGCGGTTAAATTAGAGTACACTCCGGTTTTTTGTGTTATATCTCCATAACATGAAAATATTCAAGTTAATCCTTAAATATACTAGATGATTGTTCCCCAGCACACTAACATTTCTACAGAAATATCTGAACAATTTCTATTTGGAATACATTCATAATTATGTAATTGTCATTGATGTTATACATATGTATATGCTTTCATAAAAGAACATTTATCAACAGGTTTAAGAAGAGACTATACCAAGGAATTATTTTTGTGTAAATAACACAATAAACCTTTTTTGTTTATTAATATATAAAGCCAGCCCATCTGAAACTACCAAACCTACTCATTGTAGTAGAACTTGTCAAATTCGTCTGTTATGCCAAGGTCTTTCTGGCGTTGGAGGACGTGGAGCTGTTTACGAAGTGATAGCTCATATTCCTCCTCTCGTGTCCTAAAGGCCCAGGGCTTACTGTCCTTCATTACAGGGTCCTGGAGAGCTATGTTCTCTGCAAAACACATTTATTTTAAAAACAGATTATATCTATCTATCTATCTATTTGTTATACTCCACAGAGACCAAGATTACGGTCACATTCTAGCTTCATGCTAAAGGGAAGTTCTCCTTAGCTGTATCAGTCGATGTAAAACTGTCACAGCCTTAAGCTGTCCTAATGGACTTATCAAAAGCATTTGACTACCTTTGTCTCACAACTTGATAATAATGGAACTTGAAACATATGGCCTAACAAAAGATCCATGTAACCTTATAGCTAGCTACCTCAAAAATAGATATCAATGAATCAAAATTGGAAACGATACCAGTTGATGGGTAGAAATAATAAAAGGAGTACCCCAGGGCTCTACAGTGGGGCCTTTGTTTTTCAATATGTTTATTTATAAGATATTTTCTATTTTAAGAATTAATCTACTATTCATAATTATGTTGATGACAATTGATACTCTCTCATAGAAAAAGCAGAGATTTACTGAAAACAATTCTTGAGAGTGAAAACATACACGATCCTGATTGACTGGTTCACATTTCACCAAATGCAAGACAATTAATCCTGAAATATTTCAAGCAATATCAATAAGCAAAAAGACTAACTCATAATTTTCCAGTCTGTCTGTTAGGAATAAAAGATTCTCTGTGAGGATAGGGTCACTTTACTTGTTATTTCACTTGACTTTCTGTTTAACTTTGAAAACTCAGACACTGAGCAACTTTTGTCTATTGAGTCAAGACTTCTCATCTAACTATTGTCTATTGAGTCAAGACTTCCCATCTAACTATTGTCCACTCATCTGGCACTTCTTTATTAAAACAAACACAGATAAATTGGAAAAAGTTCAGATCAGAGCTCAATGCAGATATGTCATAAATAGATTCAACCAATCAGAATGGTTGTCTGGTACAGGTAACATAGGGCAAGGAGGCTGGGGTATGAAATGGGATGCCCTGGCAAAAGCAGTGACTAGTGTGGCCGGAAAGCTGTCTATCACCAGGAGGGGTTAACCTCTCCACCCAGGTGCTGACCAGCAGTGCTACTTATGTACTGAATGTTAGGGTAAGCTTAAGGCTTGCTAGCATAATGAACTGGTCAACAAGTGTACTGGGAGGGGTTTGGTTGTCATCATATATACATGTAGCTACCGTTACCTATATAGGCCTAAACTACATCTTCATCTTTTCCTTTACAATATAGACNAGTGTGGCCGGAAAGCTGTCTATCACCAGGAGGGGTTAACCTCTCCACCCAGGTGCTGACCAGCAGTGCTACTTATGTACTGAATGTTAGGGTAAGCTTAAGGCTTGCTAGCATAATGAACTGGTCAACAAGTGTACTGGGAGGGGTTTGGTTGTCATCATATATACATGTAGCTACCGTTACCTATATAGGCCTAAACTACATCTTCATCTTTTCCTTTACAATATAGACCTTTTTTCTGTCACATGTAAATATATATACTCTTATTAATGTATGTATTGTTTATCATGTTTTAATTATTAATAGCTTATTCAATAGTGTGCTTCTAAATAATCATCAATAAAGTTGAACAAAGTGGTTATTACTTCATGACTCGGATACTCTTTCACTACATTTAAGCATCCTACAGACCAGCGAGTGTGTCTGACGCAGGAGGAAATTCTTGGGTATTTCCTCAGGTCGGTTTGTCGGTAGTTTTGGGGAAAACAAAATTACTTTTCAATCATTTATTCATCTAGCAACACTGGACAAGCTCTTCCCACGGATATTGTGCTCTCATTTATTGCTATTATTTGCTCTCATTTAACATTATGTATATATTCATTGCTATTATATATATACCGCATTAAATATATTGGAAAACTGGATGTACTTTTGCCTGTTTTAATGCTTCCAGGTGCTACTCTAATTGATGCAGGTATGCATGTATAGTGAAGCTGTATTGGGTCGATTGTCAGTGACCAGGTGTATTTCAATTGGTAGAGTGACTTTCTAGAGTTCAGAGGATCCCGATTTGAACACTGATCTGACTGTTGCATTTCTGTTACAAATTTATTGTATTGTGGCAGATTTTAATTGTACATAGGATTACAGTAGCCTTCTAGCTTCGAGCTAGAGAGAATTTCCTTTAGCTCATTGGTATAACATTCACTAGGAAGTATGGGATTGTGAGTTCTGGTCAGTAATCAGCAACGTCCAATTGGATATCACGCTGATTGCACATGTGCAGCATGTGCTTAATTTAGAATAATGACAGTGTCAAAAAAGTTCATTGAATAAAACTCATATAT